GAGGATTATTTTCTGATCTAGTGCTTCATTGCATTGACACAATAGTGCTCATTAATGTCTTTTTGCAGGAAGGACTTGAGGACTCAGTAGACATGTTTTACCTCCATTTCTTAGTAAGGGATTTGATTTCTCTATGCATTTATGTCTTCCTTTGTGAAATGGGGATGTTTGATGCTCAGTTGTTTCATATCAGGATTCGTGTGAACCATTCATTCAATATAGGTGTGGACTCTGCTCTGTACTCTTCTGAATGTAAGGCATATTGCAATCAACTGAGTGAGAGAAAAGGCAAAAAAACTCAAACAGATCCATGTGTGGATAACTTACATATGGCTCTATTAGAGTCATATGTATCTTTTACCCAAAATGCTTGTTTCAGATTTTAGATTTTTTTAAGGGGTGGGGATATTTGCGTAGATTTTACCAGTTGAGCATCCTTAATGCAAAAATCCAAAATTTGAAATGCTCCCAAATCTAAAACTTAGGCACTCAAAAAGTTTCAGATTTCAGATTTTTGGATTAGGGATGCTTAACCTTTATGTGACAAGATACTCTGCTGGTATATTAAAATGTAAGTGCTAGTTTAGCCTGAGAGATATGAAGAGGGCTTCTTAGAAGAATTGAGAGTTGAATTGCATTGCAAAGGAGGAGGTGAGGGAAGACCTTGCAGGTGGAAGAGAAAAACATTGGCAAAGGCACATAGGCAGAAAGATCAGGGAAGCACTGGGGCTTCTGATGTGATGGAATAGGTTGTAGCCTCCAAGGCTGAATGCGGGCAGTAGAGTGGGGTACCAACTTGTGAAGTCAAGGTCTTTGGCAATTTTAAAGCAAGAAAATGAAATAAGTAGCTTGCTTTGTCAGTATGCTGACTCCCTTCCGTGTAGAGAATGAACTCAGGGTAGAGGGAAGCTAGCACTAGATAGAGTTCTGTCAATACTGAAGGTCTGAATTAGGCAAAGATACTGGCTGCAGAGGAAATAGATTGGAGAGACATTCTGTAGAGATGAGAGGAATTTGATGATCCTTTGGAGAGAGAGGAGAATGGACTCAAGGTTCATCCTGTGGGTAGCAGCTTCGGGGCTGGGTGAATGATGACAGCAGTAGAGGAGATCCCGTGTGCAGGAAGCTGGAAGCTTGAGTGAAAGGGAGTTGGTGTGCTCACTTTCTAACATGTTGTGTTCAAGGTGCTTATATGGTATCTGGACAGATGTCCAGAATAGTGTTGGCCAGTAGCATTTTCTGCTCTGTGGGAAGGGTCTGTGTCCAGTGTCCAGTATGGTGTCCACTAGCCACATGTGACTGTGCACCCAAAGAACTGAATTTTCATTGTATTTAAATTAAATGATTAACACTTAACCAGCTACTTGTGGCTAATGGCTGTATAAGGGACTGTGAAATTTTAGAAACTGTTGGTTGGAAATGCTGATCTGGAGATGCTGGAGGTGGGACGATTAGATTTCCTAGGGCTGACATTTGCAGGGATGCTGGACTTGCAGTGCTCAGACAGACAGTCCCAGGCACACCGTGATGCTTGTTAACCTTCTCCAGAGGGGTTGTAATTGGCTTGTAGTTATGAGCCTTCGCTGTCACACGTCTGAAACAACTAAGTCTACTCAGCTCCCTCCTGGGCTGGGTATGTCATGTTTATAGCTTGGAAAGAATTCTTTTTCTTGGAATGACTGAGTTAGAAAATGGAAAAGCAGCATGATTCTTAAAACTTGTGCTCTGCCTGATATTCTCCACCATCTTCTGTTGTATGGTGGTTCCCACTTTGGGCTATAAATTAGAATCACCTTGGCATTCACATCTTTAAAAAAAAGAAGGTGCCTAAGCTCCACCCCAGACTCTTGGGGTGGGAAGGGCAGTGTGGAGAGGGAGTCAAATTTTGTGTGATTGCAAACTCTCCAGATGATTCAGTGTGCAGCCAGGATGGAAAAATGTATTCCTCAGATGTGCTTCCCTTCCTCTGCCACGTTTCTTTAAGACATCACGTGTTTGCACTTGATCTTTAGTCCCTTTCCGCTCCTTTGATTTGGTGGGGGGATAATAGGATCCCGGGTTGCAGAGATTTTTCCAGTTGGCCATCTTTTGGGCCATGTAAGACAAGTAGTCCTGAAACCCAGAGCACCCTAATCTCTTTTTAAAAAGTCACGTGCTCAAGGTTTGATGTACTACTGCAGAGGTGATAACCATGGCTAACATGCAGGGAACACTTCAGGTCCCTAAACACTCATATATATCAACTCATTTACTCTTAGTAATAGCCCCACAAGGGGCACTTTTCCAGATGAGGAATCTGAGACTTGGATTAAGGACTTGCTATAGCTTCCTTGGCCAAGAAGTGCTCAGGCTGGGAGTCAGGTGCACGTTGTAATTACTGTCCTGTATGACCTTACTACACAGAGGCATGCACTATACCCGTGAGCCTGAGAGATGAAGGCTTCCCAAGCTGTCTTTCTTATGATGGAGAATTGGTCACATTCATCTCTTCTTATACATTGATTGATTTAGAATTTAGAGGGCCTCTCATCAAATCACTTGAGTAGTACAAGCTTACTTTCAAAACTTTTCAAACTGTGAGCCAATTCTAAAACAATAAGAAGGCTTTTTCTGCCATTCCTTGACATTGCTGCTCCAAAAGTAGCTGAATGATAAAAAGGCACTTCAATTTTTGCCAGGTTTGCTGAGGATGGGGTTACATATATATTCACTGTGATATGTATGCATATATGTTTCTGGGTATGTATGAGTACTCTTTAGGACACAGAGCTTGGTTTTTTAACTTCAAAGAAATAAATGATTTTCTTTCCTTCTCTGGCTTATTCCTCACTTATCCCCTGTCTGTTACCAAGTGGTTAATTCTTCCCATACTTCCCCTTTCTGGTACCTGGCTTTATTTTTTTAATATGCACATAGCCACAAACAGTTTTCTGTGCTTTCCAGTACAATATGGTAGATGAAGGGTTCTTAATTAATGCTTTTAATAAAGATCCAGTAATTGGGAATTTACAATGGTCCATCTGGGTTCTATTGACAGTATAATGGAAGAATAGTATGACTATTTTTAAAAAGCCTTTCAAGCCATTAACTGATGTTTTAAATGGAAAAAAATTTTGTCAATATGAGATTATTTATTGTATAGATAAAGTAGGTCACAAATAATCGAATTTTCAACTTCATCTGTAGATACTTTTAAATGTCAAGTAATTTAAACCAAAATCTCTCAATAAGACATATATTTATTTTTTGAAATGGTATAGGAATAAGATTTAGGAACATGATCGTAGACTATCTAATGGCGTAAGAGCATATTTTAGGAATCTTCCCTAGTCCTTGTTTCTCTCTGTTAAGAAGTGGGGCACATATCATTGATTTTTTAGATCAAGGACAGTTTGGTTTGTATTCAGTTATATTCAGTGTTTGGTGGGCATTGATATGGAAGAAAACTGTAGAGAGCTTTATTCTGTGGTCAGTCAGATTTTTTCTGTTGAAAGTTTTTTTTCGAAAGGGGTATATCTTTGCATGTATATGTTCAAAACTATTTTATGAGCTGTGTTCAAGGATCTTATAGATATGACTTCAATAAAGTGTCCATTAATTTTTATTTTATATCCATACTATGCTTCTGGGAATTGGTAATATAATCCCATAAATATTTGCTAATATGAATTGAATTTTTATATCATCACTGGAAGTATTCTGAACCCTTTGATTACTCCTGAAGGAAACAAAGCATGTACTTCATTGTGTTAATTATTTATTTCTGACGTGTTCTCTGTCTTAGTGGTTAGAATCATAAATTTCTAGAATTAATGATTAGATTTTTCTGAGATGTTCTTGAAGCTGCTGGTTTCAGATTTTTATTATTTTCTGCAGATTATTCATATAGTCAACTTTTTCTTTTTGTAAAACAGGTTTTTTTCAATAGATAAATCCCAGTCACATTTTTAAAAAGATAGAAGCCCAATCTGATGATTCACTGGTTCTCTGTTGCCAGTGTGGCCCAGGGATGGGTTGAGCGGCAGTTCTAGGCTTACTGAGATGTTCTGCTTCATCTGCTCCCCCCCCCCCGCCCCGCCCCGCCCCACCCCACCCTCGTACCAGGGATCGAACTCAGGACCTTGTGCTTGCAAGGCAGGCGTGGTGCCACTGAGCTAAATCCCCGGCCTTCTGTTTCATCTTTGATCTTAATTTGTGTTCTAAACTTGATATTCTCAGCTGGGGGAATACTTAAAATGGTGCTTTTGCCAAAACACGAATGTAAGGGTTCAGCTTATTTCATTTTTCAGCAGTAGGGGATTTTTTTTTTTTTTTTTTGGTACCGGGGATTGAACTTGGGACCTTGCGCTTGAGAAGCAGGCGCCGGAACCACTGAGCTAAATCCCTGGCCCCAGCAGTAGGGGATTTTTATGTGGAAAACCTTTTTTCATCATGTAGTTGGGAGTATATCAGTTTACCTATATTCCCAATTTAGTTAAATCTCGTGGGTTTCTGCTCATGGTTTGGTGAGTGCAGTGTTGTCCAGAAAAATAATGGTTCTTAGCTGAATGCTCATAGCCTAAACTTTTTGCTCTGTATGAAGTAGATACATGACATTGAGTTGAATGAGCAAGCTTACTTTGTTTTCTAGAGACAGTTTCTAGATAAACCTGTTGGTAGCACCATAGACTAATAGCATTGGGAGGAACTCTGGGGAACACCCACTGAATCCTCATAGGACCAGTGCTGAGCACCAAAGAGGAGGAATGGCTTGTCTTAGGTCACTTCCCTTGGCTCTGAAGTCTTCCTAGTGACATAGGGAGAACTGAAGTTCAGTTTGATGGGCTCCCATCTGCTGTACTCTCTTTTTCTTTTCTACTTTTAAAGGCAGAAGCCTTTTGTGGCTTCTTCTCCACCCTACTCCAACCTAGTAAATAGCTGATGGGATAAGTTGGGTTCTCAGGTTTTTCCACAGTAAACTTCCAATAGAGTTGTAATGTTGCTTTTCTTTTTTCTTTTAGCTGTAGGCGAATATGAAGACCTTAGAGCAGAGAACCAGAAAACAAAGGAGAAGGTTTGTACTTTTTACCCTTTTTTCCCTTTCCTTACATGTGTGAAAGCCTAGGCCGCATAGTACATTGTTCAGCCACCAATTTCAGTTAAATGTGAATGAGGGGTTTTTTTTTCTTCTTTTCTCTTGCTTATGTGGTTCAAGCTAATATCAACTCCAGGCTCCAGATGGTAAAGATAGCAGGCATGCCACAGTGGGCACAGTTTTGGGAGATTAACTGCACAGCTAAACGTGCAGCAAGGCACCAGGCCAAGCCATGCAGGTCCTCCAGTATTGCACCTTTCCCCTCACAGTCAGTGAGGGAGTCTGGGGATGCCGTCAAAGGCCTGAGACTTTTACTTTTGGGACCAGACATGATAGACACTGGAGAGAAGAGTCTTTGGAGTTAGCCATTGGTTGTTACCTCAGAAACCTCTATAAACCTTTTATACCTTTGCTTCATCTACGGGAATAATACAGTGACTGTTGGAAAAACACCCACGGTGACGAAGGGGCAGCCTGTGAATTTCCTTAGGGGCTCTGGCAGTTTTAGTTTTTAATTGTTAAATAATTGAATTCTATTTACCTTCACAATCTGTGTCCTCTTTCTCTCTAAAAATGTCTAAGATTTGTTAGTGTTTGCTTTAGTATATAAATCATATCTATTATTTCGTCTATAAATTAGTGAGGGGACAAATACAAGATAGAAAAATAGAAAGACTGAGTAGAAAATGAAAAATAAGAGAGATGTAGCAAACTGTCCATTTTTATTTCAGATATAAACAAAATTTACTTTAAAAATTACTGTTTGGTAGACTAAATGTTTTCGAACATTATTTGCCTGGTGGAAAATTTGTAATACAGGACCGTAGTAGTTCTTAAATAAGAAGATGGTTGTCACTGCTATAAATTGTCATACATTATCTTTAAAATTTTAGAGTAAGGGCTGTAACAAAGACTGGCAGTAAGTTAACTGTAAAATCTGTGCCATATTTGATATTATTTATTGGTCTTTTAAGAATTATATTTAACTTTCACCCATACTCTTTTGCTACCTATGCAGCTGTAGTATGACTAGTGATATTAATGGTAAGCTCTCTTAATTCAGAGCAGATTATAATAGATTTGTAGATAATTATTTTCACATAATTTTAAAGCTCCTTTGTCTTTTTGTAAATTAATCCTTGGTGATCTGTGAAATCTTATTTCCTTTCTTTTTTTCATCATACAATTCAGAGAATAGTTGATGGGGGCTGCTAAAAATATCCATGGTAATAGGTGGCTGGTGCAGGCAAGGGTTGGTCAAAAAATAGGGTGAGTGTTTAAATTTTAAAATTTTATTATAATAAAAGACACATTGCCATTAATAGTCTCCCTTGCTTTGTGTACACTTATTCCAGCATTCTTGCCACTTTCTGAAGCAGTTCTGGAAGTCTATTTTGTCTTTACAGGTATGATAAAAAATACAGAGAAGGCTTGGTGCCGAGTGCCCTGTAAAGAAAGGCAGGCTCATAAAACATTACAGTGTATCCTCATCCACCTTATTTACCACATCTGGCACCATGTGACTTGTGGCTCTTCTCCAAAGTCAAAATGACTATGAAATGTAAATATTTTGAGTTGATTCAGAACCTCAAGGCAGCCAGGAAGCCCAATTGAAGACATTCAGGAAAGGGGACCTCCAGAACTGCCTCAGAAACTGTCAAGAATCATAAAGAAGGATAAACTTGAGGCATTTGTAGGTAAATGAATGCACCTCAAGATCATACTGTTAGATGAAGTAAATCAGACACACAAGTTTAAATATCACATTGTTTCTCTTATATGAGAAATCCAAAATATAAATAAAGAGCAAAATAAAGGATAGATAATGAGAAGTAGGAGATCTTTCTCAGTTGGGAAGAGGAACAAGAGTTGGAGGGAGAGGGAAGGAAGGAAGGGAAAAGGGATTAAAAAGAAAATCAAAGAAAAAAATGGAAACAGTTTTTAAAAATACAAAGTGGAGCAAAAATTGGAGCAGGGAAGAGAGGAGAAGGGGCCAAAGAAGAATTAAGATGTGTTATGTACACTTACCAACTCCCCGCTATAAATGTAATCATTATGTACTGCAAAGATGTACTAATAAAAATAATTATAAAAAAAAGCAAATTTGAGTTAGTAAAAAAAGAAAAGTGGCAAGAATGTGGGGGTGTATTTGAAGCAGGGTGGAGTATTTCGAGGGGAATAAATGGCAAGGTGTCATTTCCTGTAATAAATTTAAAAAATGTAAACATATACCATATATATATATATATATATATATATTTTTTTTTTTTGAACCAGGGATTAAACTCAGGTCCTTGCACTTGTGGAGCAGGCAGTGAAACCACTGAGCTAAATCCCCGGCCCTATACCATATTTTTTTTTAACACATTTTATATAACAAGGTGGTAAAAAAGGCACAGAAAATAGTTTGACAAGAGGATTTCTAATTCTATCACTATAACTGCCCGAAATCACAGTTGTCTCGAGGCTGGAAGTAGGTGGAGAGGTTGTACTGGCACCCTGGTCCCTGATGCCTTATAATTTTAAAGCAGATTTTCTGGATGATGTTTAGACCAGATAGCTTGATTCTCTTTCCTAAGATACCCAACTACCTTTTACCTCTAGGAGGAGGAAAAGGCTGAGAAATTTTCAGTTGGTAGAATCTTTCTAATGTTGCTCCTGGGCCAACAAGGGAAGAGCAAAGCAAATTGAAGGGGGTTAATTCAGGAGAACTGTTTAACTTAGAAGATACGAGGAGGGGCGGGCCAGGGATTTAGCTCAGTGGTTTCACTGCCTGCTGCGCGAGCACAAGGACCCAAGTTCGATCCCTGGTACCAAAAGAAAAAAAGAAAGAAAGAAGATACAAGGAGGGAAGCCAACAGATGTCTTTCTGTGGTGGAGAAAAGGCATATAGATAATAGCCAATAACAGAAGATGAAGACTAAATTTGTTTTGTTTGCTTCCCTTCTTCTTTAATCCTTGTTTACTTGTAGAACTAGCAGTGCCCTGAATATAGGAGGTGCTCTATAAACATAGGCTGGCAGCCATGATGGTTAGTTAACCCAGAGCCACCTTTTGCAGTGAGGTTTTAAGTGAGCTGTCTGTTATGCAAGTGGGATTATAGGTAAAATGCATTTGGCAAAGGAAAGATTACACATTTCCTCAGCCCATTAACTGTTTACATGCTTCTCTGTGTAGAGTATGGCCTGATATGTTCATAACATCTGTGGGCATTATTGACTGGCTTCTGTCCTAATTCTTCAAAAATAACTCTTAACACAAATGAGAGGAAAAGAAAAGAAAGCAATATGGAATGCTAGGTGGTTGGGTAAAACAAAGCAGAGTGGTCTTAAGTTCACAGCACTCTGTTTACCTCCTGCTAAAAGACTAGCTTGCTTATTACTGCACGTTTTTCCCCCAAAGGGGGGGCTCTATGACAAAGGAGGGAAGCATATAATAAAAGCCTTTTATATGACATAGAATGAGTAAAAGCAGCTTTAGTTCTGGAGGTGGCAAATGGAGGACACCATTTTCTCTGGGAAAGCACGCTCTTCTGCCTGGCTGAGGAACTCTGACCAGTCCACATCAGCAAATACGCACAGCCATCTTCTTTCAGGGCCCCCAGCCCAGAGGATGGTTCATTTCCTCAGTTCACTTCATCCAATGTAAGATTTCTTTTGCCATCTTTAATTGGATGTGGGAAAATTTGGCATGAATGGGGGAGCAAGAAAATGAATGGTAAGGTGTTCTCCCTTACACATGTCTCCATTAAGTGCAGTTTTCTTTGTGGCCAGGTCATGATCATACCTTAGCAATGGGAAGAGACAGTGGATGTGATTTTGTTTGGGTAGGATCTCCTTCCCTGCTTAGAGTATCCTCTGTTGCAAGTTTCAGGATATATGCTATTCAGAGAAGATAGTTTCTTAACAGCCTGTGTATATCAAGAAGCTACTATGGGACATCTGTGTCATCTTACCTCCTTCAACTGATGCTCCAAACAGCCCCATATCATCCCCATTTCAAAGAGAGAAAGGGACTCAGAGACAGTGTAGTGAGTTTCCTGAGGTTATACAGGTAATCAGCGGCAGAGTCTAGATTCAAAACTGGGTCTTCTGACCACAGTATTCTTTTATAAGCAGGTAGAGTAATGGGGGTGTATTGATTTTTTTCTCTTAACATCCTAGTTTTGTTCTTTATTGTGCATGAAGTTTTCATACCAAATTATCACACTCGTTACTTTTCTAGTCCTTGTTGTCACTGTCCATTAGTTTGTGTTGAAAAACTGAAATTTAAATAGCAAATCAGACTTGTGTCAGAAACACTCTCGTGTGTGTGTGTGTGTGCGCGCGCGCGCGCGCACATACAGATTCTGACATAATGTACTCCAAGTATAAGAATAGGAGATTTAGGGATGGCCTAGTATTCTAACTCATCTTTTCCTGTAGTTTGCCCTTGTTAGGAACAATGGAACGTTGACCATTTTATATTTTTATCAATGACTTTGAGGATGGAATCAGAATCTAGTTGAGTGTACACGGAAAGCTTTTGTGAAGGAACAAAAAGCTTTTTTGTTGAACACCTTCTGAGTATAAAGAAAAATATATGAAAGTTGTACTCTTGAGTAAAACCACTCTAATTGAGGGATACAGACCAATTGACAAGTAGCAGTGGTAGATTATGCACTTACTGTATGAGTGGGTGTCTGAGGCTTAACAGTGGAATAGGAAAAGAACATGCGACACTTTTAGTAGTCTTTCATGCTTGGATAAATGTCATTTATTTTTTTAAAGTCTTTTCTAAGTCTCTTTCAAGCAGAAATAATTGCTGTTTTTATAACAAACCATCTGTGTGTTCCTTATGGACTTGTCACATTTATCAGCCAAAATTCATTGTTATCAAAATATTAAGCAGGATATAAGTAAGTGGTGTGGGTTGGATTAAAATGCAAGAAACTTGAGATTGGTGTATGTATGTGTTTTAACATCAGTGTAAGTGGAGAC